AGGGGGGTGCTCTGGACGCCCTCGGTGCCTTCCTGAGGAGGAAGGGGAGGAGGAGGAGGAGGAGGAGGAGGAGGAGGAGGAGGAGGGGGAGGAGGAAGAGGAGGAGAAGAGGAGGAGGAGGAGGAGGAGGAGGAGGAGGAAGAGGAGGCGGAGGAGGAGGAGGGAGAAGTGGAGGAGGAGGAAGAGAAGGAGGAGAAGGAGGAGGAGGAGGACAGGGATGGGGAGGAGAAGAAGAGGAGAGGAGGAGGAGGAGGAGGAGGAGAGGAAGGAGGATTTTGGAGGGAGGGAGGGAGGGAGGGAGGGGAGGGAGGGAGGGAGGGGGGGGGGAGGAGTAGGAGGAGGCGGATGACAACACGGGTGATCTACGCGCTATTGCCAAAATCCCCTGCGCTTCGTTGTGACACAGCCCTGCTTTCTTACTAGGGCTGGCAGAGGGCATACCCCGTAGGTCAAGGACCGAGCTCCGAGGTGGCCTCGTAAGAGAGGCTCGCTAACTTACATCGCGAGTCCCATCGGGTCAGGTTGCCTTGGGGTTGGGGTTGTCCCTGACTTCGGCGTCCCAGTGCTGCTCAGCCTCTGTCGACCATGTGCGCACCAGGGGTTCTCTGATGAGGTCCCACAGCCGCCCCGCCATCGACACGAGCCCGATGATGCGATCTCCATTCGACCTCTTAGGTAACATGCGCCCTACTATCAACAAAAACTGGCCTGGCCACACTAGGTGATGCTCGCACGCCTGGGGCAGCAGCGCTAGCTCGGCCAGCGCCTTGTCGGGTAGGCGCTCGAAATCGAGCGGGCTGAGCATGTCCACGCCCAGGCCCGGTCGCCCTTTCATCTTGCGAACGGCTGGCCGCAGATCTGCAACTGGAATGCCAGGCAGCGACTCCGACCCAGCAGCATCCTGCATCTTACCAAATGTCCGACAGATCTCGTCCTCGTCCAAGACTGCTGGTGACCACGCATCGTGCCATGTCCTCACGTTATGATCGATCAGATCTCGACGGTGGAATATAACTACATCGCCCTGGTCCATGTCCAGGCCATGCAGAAACTGTTGAGTCAAAGACTTGTGCAGGATCCCAAAGGATGCCTCTTCGAACATGAACTCCTTAAACTCATTGGTAATATCCTGAGCAGCCCTGCGCTGGGTCCTCCCCATGATCCTCTTGGAGCTGGCCTCGCAGCTGGCAAGCACTGGCGTGGCCGCCGTGCCCGCCTGGCTCAGCGCCCTCGCCCACGCGGCCCACGGGGGATCACGCACCTCAAGACGCGCCCTCTGGACATGCTCGGGGCGATCCATCGGGTGCCTCGCGCAGGCCCTCACGTGGCGCTCGATCTGGCGCGCGCCATCGCCCTTCGTCTTGCGCAACGGCATGCCTCGCCAGCAGAGTGTGCAGCTGCGCCCGCCAGCCACCGATCCGGCCTCGAGGGGGCGTCGCCCGAACCTTCTGCGGTACTTTTTCACTGTTGTGACCGTGAACCTGGGGCCCTCTGCCCGCGTCGGGCCTCGAGGTGGGTCCACGCCATGATGAGAGGTGGTTTTGTGGGCTTGACAGCAGAGGCCCAAGAGGCGTAAAGACTTGATATAGTCTCAAGCTGAACTTGCTTGAGCCGAACGGCCACGGATTGCCGCTGAGCAGGAGCAAGGGACTGAACCGAGGCGGCCCCTTGGATATACCCAACGTCTCTACGACACCTGGTACGCAAATCGGACGGGATGGCAAAAGACGGGGCCCCTCCAGGGATCTGTCCTTCCAGCCCAGGCCCCAGAGGGCCTCCAGCCTCAGAGGAATCCAGGGCCTGCGAGTGAGGACGGCCAAGAGCAGGAGCAGGAGCGCTCGGGTGCTCCACCCAAGGCTGCTCGACCCCTTCAGGCACGCCCACAGAAGCCTCGTGAGACCTATTAAAGGGCCTAGGCTGGGATGTAGGCGCTCTTGCAAGACTCGATTGTGTGGGTGTCCGATCGTCGCGCTGGGGCGCTACATCTACGGGTGCAGCAGGAGCAGGGGGGGGGGGGGCGGAACCAGGGCAGAAACGCAACTCGTCGGCCCGCGGCTCCTCTTCCTCGGGCCACTCGGCAAAATTGAAAGGATCAGTATCAGGCACCCCTCTCCCAAGGTCAAGGAATCATTTCCCTCAGCTCCCTCGACCTCGGGGTTTGCCTTGGATTGCTCGGTCTGGCAGCAATCCTCAAACAAAGCAGAACTCTTAGAACCTTGCTTCTCGACTGCGAGCTGGCGCTGTGCCTTACGCGCAGCTTTGGCAAGACTAGACTTCGACCCTATAGTGGCATCCTTGCTCGGTCTGGGGACCTGCGGAAGGCGGCCAGGAGTTTAGAATTCTCGTCAGGAGCTGTTCCCCCGAACGACGCAGGAGAATCTCAACCCCTGTGCGTGGCTTCCATGGCGCCGAGATGACTGGGCGAGTGTCTGCAACAAATGGCACAGCATACTGACTGCGTAGGAGGTAATATATATATATATATATATATATATATATATATAGCCGTGCCCGAGCCTACATTACATGTGACAGCCCCTTTATCCTGCAACGCCACAGCTTGCACACGACGAACGATGCTCGGTTTCTTTGACCTCTTGGGCTCCTCATTGAAGCCGCCTGCCGCGATCCAGGGAAGTTGGAGCGCCCGCAGGAGTCCAGCCAAACGCTGAAACCCGCCGATGTTGGCCCCTGTGATCCCGAGATTACTGTGTGCATAGAAACTCACCATCACCACACTGGAGCCTGAAACATTAACAAATGTAGCTAGAAACCCATCCAAGCTGGTGTGATGGTGAGGCGCGTGCAATCTTGTCACATCTAGCATTGCAGCTGAGAGGCGATGCGATTGCAGGTGCCCCTCGACAGAAACCATTCACCGTCCTCGTTCGAGTGCTCCATCATCGCCTCCCTGGCGGCGCCGACGGCTCCTCTCGCTTTCGAAGGCGGCCTCGCTGGATTGGTAACAAACGAAGGCCCTTTCCCCGAGCCTTGACGTCATGCTTCCGAGGAGTCCGCTCGTCATGAATGTGAGGCCCAACTACACTGGTGAAGTCAAACGACTGAGACGCAAGCTAGTTCCACGACTTCTCCCCCACGCAAGTGACATTCGCACAGAACCATCGGCTATGCTTCCCCCCCCACCGCCTCCTAAGGCGGCTCAGAGGCTCGCCCTGCGCTCCAGATGGTCAAGGGTGGCCGCCGCCGCCCTTGGGGTCGATGCCCTTGCCGGTGCTCTCGCCCTCCTGCCTCTGGGCCTCCGCCGGGCACTTGGCCTCCGACAGCTTCCTGGCCTCCTCTGCGATCTGCTTCGCCTTCGCCTCTGCTCCGGCGGTGGCCTCGGCGTCTGCGGCCGCGCCCACTGCAGCGTCGCCATTGGCGGCCTCGTCTGGGGCGGCCCCCTGCCTGTGGCTGCTGCTTGGCCTGCGCGTCGTCGCCTCCGCCAGCCATCGCCTGTCCGTCGGCTCCCCGCCTCCTCTTGGCGAGCCTCTTCTCGATGTCGCGCTGGACGGTCTGCATCTGCTCCAGCCACGCCTTGACCTCCGCCTCCTTGGAGGCCATGGCCCCTCGCGTGGCCTCGAGGTTGAGCTTGGTGCCCTTCAGCGCCCCCTTCTCGCGCTCCTCGCACTCCATGCTATCAATCCTATCGAAAAGGTCCTGGTCCCAGCAGGCCTGGAAGATCGGCCTCGTGGTGGAGGCTTGGCGGCGGCGACCTCCGCGCCCTCGGCGTGCGCCACGGCCTTCGCTGCAGCCCTGCGGGCCAGCGCGGCCTCTGCCGCTGCCTTGGCCGCCGCCGCCTCCTCCTCCGCCAGCTGGAGCTGCCTCCTCAACCGAACAACATGTGCAACTTGCTGCGGGTGCCGATGCTCGGTGTCTTTGCACATGCCTTCTGCTCGACGAAGCGCTTCGACAAGGGGCGGCTCGTCCTTGGGCTTCGCCACCTCCGCTGCGAGCTTGTCCACCTGCTTCTGCCTGCAGCCCTTGAGCCCCTCATCCTCCGTCTCCTGGAGCGCCTGCTGCAGGAGGGCAGCCACCGCGGCGCCTGGGCCATCGCTGCGCCGTCCGCCCTTGGCGCCGCTGTGCCCTTCGCCGCTCCCCCACTTGGTCCCGCGAGGGACCATCAACTGGCTCTCCTCATCGTCCGTGCTGAAGCTGACTTTTCTTCCCGCTGAAGACGACCGAGCCCTGTACAGAGGCACCTTGGACATGCAGCCTCTGCAGATGCACCCTACCTTGATCAGCTCGTCATTGTACTCGCAATATCCACAGTCGGGGCACCTGGTCCACGGGCCCCTTCCACGAGGTACACACGATCCCCTAGCCATCTCTGAGTCCTGTGTTCTCCCTTGCTTCAGTCGAGATCCGAACGCGGAATGATCGTACAGTAAGTGGCGTTCTGATCTAGTCTCTCAAGTGCCGCGCGGAGGCGCAGGGGAAGGAGGCCAAAATGAAAGGCTTGGCTTCCAATACCGGAGGGAGGAGGAGGAGGAGGAGGAGGAGGAGGAGGAGGAGGAGGAGGAGGAGGAGGTCTGGGATCGTCGGGGATCGGGGGCCACGGTCCCAGAGGTGCCCCACGAGGGGCCCATGTGCGACCTGTTGTGGTCGGACCCGGACGACAGGTGCGGGTGGGGCATCTCCCCGCGCGGCGCCGGGTACACGTTCGGGCAGGACGTCTCCTCCAGGAGGAGGAGGAGGAGGAGGAGCATGAGGAGGAGGAGGAGCATGAGGAGGAGGAGGAGCAGGAAGAGGAGGATGAGGAGGAGGAGGAGGAGGAGGAGGATGAGGAGGAGGAGGAGGAGGAGGAGGAGGGGTAGCTTTTTGGACGCCGATTAACTCGTGGGTGGTGCAACGCCAAGTGGGGGAATCAAACACAGAGCATCGGCCACCCGCCTGGAACACGGTGGCTGTCCGCCACCTGAAATGGGGGGGAGGTCCCCTGCATCGAGCGGGTGGGGAGGCGGAGGTCGAGGAGGGGGAGGGGCAGGAGAGGGGGAGGGGGGAGGATGATCAAGGACAGCTTGTCTTTTGGATGCTCTTGGGCCTCTTTGCGCCTCTGGAGGCCTTCAGGGTTCCCCTGGGAAGTGGAGGAGGGAGAGGAGAACGGGCGAGGAGGACGCCTCCTCGAGGGGGATGTCCTCCTCAGGCCTCCTCCTCCTCCTCCTCCTCCTCTTCCTCCTCCTCCTCCTCTTCCTCTCCTCTATCCCGGTAAATGCCTACCCTTTAGGGCATCAGCGCTACACTACAATCCTTCGCCTATTTTCTCTTCTTCCTCCCCCTCATCCTCTCTCCCCCCCTTTTCCTCTTCCTCCTCCTCCTCGTCGAATTGCCGTCCTCTTTTACTTCCTCCTTCTCCTCCTCCTCCTCCTCCTCCTCATCATCATCATCATCATCAGCATCATCATCATCATCATCATCCTCATCATCATCATCATCATCAGCATCATCATCATCATCATCATCATCATCATCCCCCTCTCCCCCTGACCCTGACGAGGACTCGTAAAAGGGAGAGAAGGAGCAGGATGATGAAAGCAAGGACGAGTTTGAATTTGAGATTTAGTTGAGGAGGAGGAGGAGGAGGAGGAGAAGGAGGGGGGGGGGGAGGAGAAGGAGGGGGGGGAGGAGGAGGAGGGGGGGGAGGAGGAGGAGGGGGGGAGGAGGAGGAGAAGGAGTGGTAGGATATCTCAGAGCAGTTCAACCATGCCAACGGGCTCAAACTCATCGCCCGGGCGCACCAGCTCGTGATGGAGGGTTACAACTGGGGCCACGACCGCAACACCGTGACGATTTTCTCGGCGCCGAACTACTGCTACCGGTGCGGGAACCAGGCCGCAGTGATGGAGATCGACGAGCACCTGCAGTATACGTTCCTGCAGTTCGACCCTCCCCCGCACCAGAAGGAGCCGACAACGCAGGGGCGCTCGCCAGATTATTTCCTGTGAGCGATCAAGCCGTCGCCCACACAATCTTCTTTGGCCTGAGGCCGGTTTGCTATCACCCCTCCTTGGCTCGCTGACACTCCCACTTCGAGAGCCACTTTCCATGTCCAACCTTGTTCCTTGTGTTCGTCTTCTCCTCCTCTTTCTCCTCCTCCCTCCATCTCCTTCTCCTTCCGTCTCGTGTTCGTCCCCTCCTCTTCCTCGTAGTGCTCCTTCCTTCTCCCTCCTTCCCTCCTTCCCTTCTGCCTTCTCCCCCCCCTCCCCCTCCCTTCTCCTTCCCCGTCCCCGTCTCCCTCCCCCTCTCCCCATCTCCCTCCCCCTGTGCTTCCTTTTTCCGCCCCCTCTCCCCCTCCTCAGTCTCTCTCTTCTCCTCCTCCTCCTCCTCCTCCTCCTCCTCCTCCTCCTCCTCCTTCTCACACATAACTCCTCCCTATCGCATCTCCAGACGTGTCGGTAGGGCGGGCTGGCCGTTTCGATTTAGAAGTCTTGGCCAACACAACTTTTGAAACTCGAAGTTAGCAACAGTTTCACGGATGGAGGGCGGGTCCTCTTCAACATTTGGCTCTCGCTGCAGCTCTGCGCGCGCACATTCTGTTTGAAAGTTCGCACCAGTTCCAAAGGTTCGTGTAGTAGATGTCTCAGGAGTGGTGTTCTGGCACGGTGTGGGATTGTGTCAGGACGCACCAATCACGTTGGTTCGCGGTGTTGAAGTCTCAGGAACGATTTTCGGGCACGATTTCGTATTGCTGGGACGCACCAGTCACATTGATCCGCGGCGTTGAAGTCCCAGGAACGGTGTGTTGGCGTAATTTGCAGATTCTCCGACGGTAATCTTCGAATGGGCCACTTCCCGCAATGGCAGTAAGTTCGTTTACGTAGGGTCTGATGAAAGGGGAACTTGGAGGGAGGATTGATTGAGCCCGCAGAGCGGGAGTCACGGCGGGCCCCCAGGGGGAAGTTTGCCCGCAAAGATTGTGACCATTGGGTGTTAGGGATATTGCCTCGACGAGGGTCGGTGCCAATCGTTGCAATGTTTCTTGGGAGAGTACTGGGTGGGTCGCACAGCGCGGTGGCCAGGAGCGTGCTGCTGCTGCCGCGGCTGCAGCTGCAGCTGTCGTCGGAGAGGAGCGCTCCCGCAGTGGGCCGCGCGGTCCCGAATGGGATGAAGCTCTCTTCCAGGCCCTGGGCTGCGCCCCCACGGTCCTCTCGCGGGAGCTCGCGCACTCTGGCCACGCCAATCGTTACGTTGCTGGCGGCTGGAGGGGAGGTGCAGCCCAGGTCAGCTCCTCGGAGGCGGGGGGGTTATCGACCACCTGCTCCCAGCACGACGCTTGTTCCGCCGAAGCTGCTCGACGCTTCGGTCCTGGTGCAGCCGCTGCCCCAGGAGGCGCCGGCGGAGCCAGTGGAGTGGCTGCTGGTAGCCAGGACCTGGCCACGATGCTCGCCAACATGGAGTGGCGACTGGACGCACAGCTGCAGCATAACACCAATAGCTTGTCGGCCATTTTCCAGCAGACCCTGCTGCCTTTCGCTCAGGTGGCCGACACCCGCTTCGCTCGAGTCGACGAGTGCCTGGGCAGCATGGAGGAACACATGCGGGATTTCGCTCGCCTGTGCCAGGACATGGGGTGGTGGCAACAGCTATGCCGCAGATCCTACATAGCTTCTGTGGCTCGGCGCGCACCATCGACTCCAACATCCTGTCGATCACGGCGACGACGAACGTGCCGAAGGTGGCGGTGGTGGAAACCCTGCGGCGTCTGCTGGAGGATGCCGAGCTGCAGTCTCCCACGCCCGAGGCCACCTGTGTGGAGGGGGAGGAGATGGGGAGGCACTTCCGCTGATTGGAAGCAGCGGGCCTGGCTGAGAGGCGGATAGACAAGATCTTCGGGCTGCTCCGCACAGGCCCCCCCGCATGGCGCGAGTTCTCGGCGGCCCTCCCGACTGGCTGTCGTGTGCACCTCAGCGTGGGCAAGGATCGCAGCCTGAGGCAGATCTCACCAGAGATCTAGCCCAAGAAGGTTCGCAGCGTTTTGCAGGGGGAGATTCCTGAGCGCGTCTTTGTGGCCAAGGACGGCTTTGCAATCGCGGCCAAGTGGAGGCATCTCCTCAATCCGTCCATCTCATCTCGGCGGTACGTGCGATTGGCCTGGCGAAGGTGACGCTGCGCGCGCTGGTGGACCGCGCCCTGGAACCCGAGGCCCAGCAGTGGACGCTTTGACAGACTGTCTCGTGTCTGGGGGGTGGGGGGGCGACGGAGATGGATTGCGCCTCGGCACCTGTAACTGCCGCGCGCTGAAGCAATCTGGCTAGGGTGCTGCCCGCAAGGTCAAGAAGAAGCTAAGGTGCATCCAGCAACATTGGAAGGGTCCAGTGATGCTGGCTCTCCAGGCGACTCACGCCTCGGCTTGTAGCAAGGAGGTGCTCATGGAGCGATTGAGAACGGCCCAGGACGATCGAAGGGGCCCCCTAACCTCGCCCAAGACAATCGTGAAGGCCGCCAAGAGGGCCCCAAGACGGCTGAAGAGGGCCCCGAGATTGTTGAATAGAGCCCCAATACGAGCCGACAGGGCCCCACGTGGCTCCCATCAAGTCTCAAGAGGGCCCGAGGAACCCCCGACGAGTGCCCAAGGCATGCCAGCCATGACTGGGGGAGCTGTGGTCCTTACCCCCCTGGGGGACCCATCGATTTCGACACCCCTCTCGAGAGATCGTCGATGCGATGGGTTCCCCCAAGGGGGTACAGACCACAGCTCCCCCAGTTATGGCTGGTCGGCAAGGTGGCCCCGAGACGGACCCAATAAGGAGTCAACACGTCCAAGGCCGCCCAAGACGGCAATAGGGCCCGACAACGGCCCAAGAATACCCCAAGAGGACCCCCAGGAAGGCCTGGAGAGGCCACGCTCGTTCACGTCGCGCGTGGCTTTCGTGTGTCTCTTCCGGCGTACCAGACTCTAACCACGTATCACCTCAGCGTGCACGGCTTTGTTATCTCTCGGGCCCCGCGACGGCGACCTATGACGCTCCAAGCTTCCGTTGAGGATCCGTAGGTTTTAGCTCCAGGGTTCCGGTGATGTTCCGCTTCGCCCGACGCCGATAGAAACCATGGCAGACGACTTCCACCAATCACAGCTGTCTCGCACATGTTCGGCCTGCTGCTGCCGGCGCCTCCATCGCTGCTTTCGTCCACTTGCGTCCTGTACTTCTGGCGTAATGCGCGGGTAATGCGGTTTCCTCCGCCATGCGCACAAGGCCCGCCTCCCGAGGAAGTCGCAGCGCAGACGCTCTGCATTGCATTCGCTGCGACCAGGGCGTCCTTCGGCTGGACTTCACAACCCGCCAACGCAGCCGAGCTACTCGCGTGTGCCTCCCTCGCTTGCACTTCCGCTGGCCCGCAGACTTCCCGCTTTTCCCGACACCGACCAGAATTGTGTTGCGTTCGTTGCGGAATTTCCCTGCCAAAGGAAGGCTGCGCCACCGACAGCGACAGGCCGCATGACAGCGTCTGCTGCGAATGCAGCGTCGTGTGTCGACCGCTCCTTCAAGAGGTGTCGCTTTTCCGTCGCAAAATAAAACGAAACTGCCCGCATTGCTCAGCCTTCTCTGCTCTGCCGAAACGCCCACGTTAGGCTGCGGCAGCGGCAGGTGGGCTGTCGCATTCGATCAATTGTTTGTCCCCGCGGCGCCCACCGCCTTGGGAACACCAGACGTTCCCCATCCCGGGCCCCGGAGCAAATACACAGCTGTCGACGTGAACCAAGAATCGGTTAGGCCACTTGGATGGCCGTTCGCTTCCGGACATGTTTGCTACTTGCAACAACGCGCGCAGTTTTTTCGGCCCCGCGACGCAAGCCGCGCAAAGCGCCGCCTGTCTTTGGTCCGGGCCCGGGAACGAAAATAAAACAGCCGTCGGCGTTAATGCGGCCTCTTGGTGGCCCGGCGCTCCCAGTGCGACCCCTGGCACGACCACTAGCACGACCGCCAGCACGACCACCAGTACGACGAACCACCTGCATGACCCCCGCACGACCACGATCACAACCACCAGCACGACCGCCAGCACGACCACACGCCGGCACCATCACCAGTACGACCGCCAGCATGACCAGCAGTACAACCGCAAGCGCAACCACCGACACGACTTCCAGCACGCACGCCAGCACGACCGCGAGAACGCCCGCCAATGCAATCGCTAACCATGACACGTGATATGTGTTATGCGCAAGACAACCACCATGTACCCTTGAGACCACGACATACACAACACCCCCAAAAAACTGTCGAGCCAACGACGCACATGAAAGACACAGAGACACCACCCGACTGTCGTTCATGCACCTCGGCGGGCTGCGACGCCCACGACCCTCCGCAGAATATCCAAACGAGGGGCAAGGTGCTGTGGCGAAGTGCAGCGAGCCAACAGGCACATGGCATGTATGTGTATCTGTATATGCACAGACATCTGCACGGTGACACATGCGCATGCGGGGCAGCCGCTCCCAACAGCTGCAGGGATGGGGGGCGGCCAGCTCCGCGAACGGGGCCCCGAGCGGGCGATGGGAAAGTGCGGCCCCCAGGGGCAGTCTTCTCCTCCTGCACCCTCTGGCCCCTTCTCCCCTTCTCCGCCTGCCCGATCCTCGATCCTTGTTCATCGAGCTTCTTCGTCGGCGTCTTCCTGACCGTCTCTTTTTTCCTTCCCGATCCTCTTTCATTCGTCGGCCTCTGGACATGTCCAGGGACGCGGTTCGACCAGAATTCAGGGACGGATCCATCTGTGACGACCATGGCGCCACAGGTTGCGCAACGCATGCGAAACCCGCAGCAACGCGTCGACCCTCGAAGGTCGATCCTCCTCCTTCTCCTGCTGCCGAAGACTAAAGAACAGAGGTGGGCCAAACAGCAAAGGCAAAGGGAGAGGTAGTCGTGCCCGGATCGCGATTCCCCGGGTAGGCGTGGGGACCAGCACAGCCCCTTTTCGGAGCCAGGCTGGGCAAGCACAGTAT